TTTCCAGTAGGCTTCGATCCTCAGCGGTGACTTCACCCATCGGTATGGCCGTATCCGGTAAGAACTCGTCCAGAGATGGGCGCGATAACATGTCGGGCATCACGTTCTTCGTCCCATCTATGTGCTCGATCGTAAAGGTGAATGCCTGGAGCCGGTACGCCCACCTTGCTAGTCGTCCCCGCGGATCCCTCGTCGTCATTAACCATGATAGTGGCTTACGGTCGGTAACAACATGAAATTCAGTTGCTAATAAGTATGTTCTCCATTTCTCCAATGCCCACACAATGGCAAGACATTCTTTCTCCGTCGTGGAGTACTTTTGCTCTGCGATGGTCAGGACTCTGCTGGCATGTTCGACCACACCGGCTGGTTGGGACAGTACAGCTCCGATTGCAACGTTGCTCGCATCGACCGCCACCGTAAATTGTTCTCCAGGGTTGGGTAGCCGTAAACACGCTGGTGCATGCGCAACGTACTGCTTAAGTTTGTTGAAGGCCCGATCTGCTTCAGGAGTCCACGCGAACGATTCGCTTTTATGCAGAAGCTTTAACAAGGGGCTTATCCTCTCCGTAAAATGGGGCACGAACCGTGAGTCATACGTTACCATACCGAGGAACGACCGGAGCTGACGCTTCGATTTCGGGGCTGCGAAATTCTTGATCGCTTCGCTTTTCTCTGGAAGCGGCTGAACCTGGCCATTCCCGACAATGTGGCCCAAACATACAATCTACTTTTGAGCAATCTGTGACTTTTTGAGACTGAGCTTCAAGACGGCTTCCTGCAGTCTTTGTAACACCCCTGCGAGTCGGGCACCATGATCATCTTCCGTCTTCGAGAAAATAATGATGTCATCCCTTTAAAAAACCACATTTTTGAGGTTCTCCAGAACCATAAGTAGTAAGCGTCTAAATGTTGCCGGGGCATTGCACAGTCCAAACGGCATTCTCAAGAATTCGTACTACTGGCCATTTACGCTGAAAGCTGTTTTATACCTGTCTTCCTCTGCAATGGGGAGTTGCCAATAACCCGAACGTAGGTCTATCAATGAAATCAGCCTGGCATTGTGAAGATTGGAAAAGATTTCTTCCGTTTGGGGCAATGGAAAAGCGTCTTTCACCGTAACTCTATTCAGCTCCCTGAAATAGATGCAGAATCTCTAGCTTCCGTCTGCCTTTCTAGTCAAAAATACGGGAGATGAATACGGACTGTTTGTTCGTCTGATGATGCCTTTGGCCTCCATTTCAACCACCTGTTTCTGTATCTCCACCAGTGTTCTGCGGTATCCGCCTGAAAATCGGCTTGCACTGCCCACCCGGGATTAGAGGTATTCGATGTTCTACCCAGCTGCAAAATCCGTAATCAGAATTCACATCCGTGAATAAATGTGCATACTTCTGAAGCACGTCCCTTATTGCACGGTTCGGGCACTCGGGAAGAACCGTCACGGCACCTACGTGGTCGCGTTTCCCTGGGCTCATCTCGATCGTCTCCCTGTTCACTATCACAACATTCCTCCTCAAATCAATCGTTGCACCCAACCGCTTAAGGATGTCGTTACCGATGATTGTCTCCGTTGCCCCCACAACCACGAACATGGAGTGACTAATGACCGTTTTTCCGGTTCCCACTCGTAATCGCTGAGCCCCAGTAACCTTTAAGCAGTGACCTCCGACTGTTTGCATTGCGACTGACGGCTGTAGTAATGAGACACACTCGAACCTTTTCGTAATGGAAGAGCCGGCTCCCGTATCTATTATCGCATTAACTACGACACCCTCAATTATTATTTCTAGGGGTGGTACCCGCCACCGACCCGACATAGATAAAGAAAAACAACGGTAAAAATTTCTTTTTGTACAATGTGCAACGTAATGATCCAGCTGGTTGCATCGGAAGCAGCGGAGCCTATCTCGTCTTCCGGGTGCATTGCGTTGTGTCTCGGTTCTCGAAGTTGCGCTCACCAACCTCTCAACCATGCGCGAAAGCTGGTCTATTTTGCATTCCAACGCGGACGGTTCGATTCTCCCCATCTCCACGGGCCCCACAAAACTCTGCGCCACCGCCACTAGGTCTTCTGCCGTACTGACCCCAACCATGGATGCCAATTTCACTTTGTTCTGAATGGGTTTGGGCAAACTTCGGACGAATTGGCCTCTCAGTAGTCAATCTCTCGCGCCGCCATCCAACTCAGGGAGCGCCGCCTCCAAGTGTCTCTTCAGCCGCTGAAAGAACACCACCAAATCTTCTTGCGCTTTCCAATTGGTTGAGTGGAACTGCTCGAGCGCACGTTGCCGATCGCTCTCAATACTGAATTCCCCACACAGGGCAGCCTTCATCACGGCAAATAGGCAGCCAGCATTGGCCTTCCTCGTTAGCTGGTAGGTCGCCTTTGCTCTCCCCGTCAGCATCGTGCCCAAAGCGGTCAACAAATTGGCATCTCCTTTGATCCCGTTGCACGCCGCAATGGCCTCAAATTCCTCCAACCACGAGTCCACATCTCCCCCTGCGAACGGCGTTGGCCACTGGAGCTTCATGCTGATTGGTCAGGGCACCAGTGTAGCGACAGAACAACGCGGCAATGAAGCACGATCTTTATTGGCGCGAACACACACACTACGTACCCACTGACACGCGCACACATTAATGGGTCAGGTTTCTTTCCCACGTTGCACCACCCCTCCTGGCCTCCGCTCGTCACACTTCTATGCTCCTTCTGGGGAACGGGAACGCATCTTCTATGTCCGTTTCGCCCGTGTATCTTCGCTTCCACGCCTCCGATTCTGACAAGCCCGGAGTCATTCGATAGCGTGTGCTTTGCTTGACCGTGGGTGTATCACTCTCCCCGGGGTTGTTTCTTGAAGATGCGATACCGGCCGTTTTGTTTGACTTATTGCGTCTTCAGCAAATTCCCACCTGCTTTGCCTGCCTCGGGCTCACCCACGGATGCCGTTCCTGTCCTGTTTTCGTCCCATTCTATTGGGCCTGGGCTTCTCCAGCAAATCGCCCCCATTGCATCGGTCTCTCTATTCGTCCGCCTCCGTTTTAATGAGCTAACCGTCCTTTGGGCAAACGCTGCCTTCCGCCTTCCTACAATATCACGGACCGTATAGCATAAACTCGAAGCGCTTTTCCTAACCTTCGCCACTTGTGATGCCGACGCGACATCACTCTGTCCATGAAGGTTAGATTGTATAGTTCAGCCGTACGTTCGGTCCCACCGTGAGGTTCTGAAACCTGACCCATAACCTCGTCATACGCAGAGGCTAGTTACGTTCGACCACCGGTGCGTTCGCAGTTTAGCTCACATCCTTTGGGAACAGCGCGACAGCAATGGGCGTGTTCAACGCCTTCTATATGGCACAGAAGGAGGAAGTGAACCGCTCAGTACTGTTAGTTCACGAACTAGGGTCCGATGGTTTGGTCACGTGTTGTGCATGCCAGCACACCGGCTCCGCCGACATGCGTTGTTTGCGTGCCGGGAGTGTGGATGGAAGAAGATGAATAGAGGCCAAGCGATGACACTTTCAAGAGGAAGGTATACCCTTAGTTCGAATTGGCCTCGGCTGGAGCCTCTGGGCTTCCTGGTTGGGGTCTAAAAATGTTGAGCACGTTTGCTGGATGCATATGTTGATATGGATGGGTGCCGACCTTAGTGGCGTTTGTGTTGTAGGGTTCTTTGCTCCCCTCGCTCTAACCACGATCTCATTTCGGATGCATAGTATAACGCTTTTTGCTACCACAATATTCTGTTGCTAGGGCTCCGGAACGTTGTCCATGCGTTTCTGGTGGCTTAGCTGGCATGCCACTGCTGCGTTCTTATATCTCCTTTCTCATATATTGCGGCACAATATTTGAAGTGTTTCTAACCCTTATCTAACTTGTGTAATAAACGAATACGCATTTACTCATTGGTGCTACGACAAGGCGGTTTTCTCTAACAGAGAAGGAACACTACATATCCTGGTTTGGGACCCGAAGCAGAAAATCGTCCAGCTCGTCAATATCCGCACATCTCGCTCACACGAAACATGTATTCAGTGAACTGACTCCTTCAAAATCATTTATCAGCTCCTCGCTAGCCGACATATCTACATTAGTAGGAGAGGATTGAAAGCATTTGTGGTGATGGCCGTCAAGCTATATTAACCGTAACATTGTTTAAAAGGCTCGCACTACCTTGGCCTAAACGGCTAGTGATATCTGATTCACAAGTTCGTATACACTCGGATACCGTAACCTAAGAGGCAACCATTGTCAATGTCCAATTAAAAAGCTCGATGAATTTGAAGTCTTTTTTCACTTTTTGCTTTGCGCAGAATTGTATAAGCATGATGATGAATTATCGGAAGGATTTATTTGATTACCCTAACTTGTCGCATGTACAATCCCCATCTTATCAGGGTAAGTGGTAAGTATGGAACATGAAAGTAGATAAACAACCCGAGCAATCATATGCATTTGTCACGTTATACAAGGGAATATTGAGGACCAGATGGTGCTTTGTGTGCTGCATCGCAGAGAATTAGTAATAAAAATTCTTTCACTGGGAATTCCAACTTTCTCAGAAAGTAATTATGCTTGCCCGAGCCACGGACATACAAACAAGGATTTTCTCAGTCAAAGCACGTGCCGCTTATAAATCATATGGTATAAAATGTTTAGTCCCTTTGATGTCACAGGACAGTAGAATTTATCTCGATACCTTCTGCAATCCAGCAAACGGGGGGAGATACAGTTTCAGAAACTAGGTTTCCCTTCATTTTATGCCACTGGGTCCGCACAGATGACAAGTGGGGTTGTGGTCCGTGCTTAGTGTCGAATTATGAAAAGCCTCTTGTAAGTGGAAGGCAATAACACAGTTCTCCGTTATGATTCGTTTAAACATCGAATTGATGATAAAAGCTACGGAAAACATGGCAATTTAAGTATTTCAAAAAGCATTACTGTTACTTTGAAATACGCTATGCTCGACTACATATTGCACATTTACGTTGGTTCAGCTCCGTGAGAAAGAAGAAGCATCGGAGCATCCAAATGATCAGTTTGGACACATTCCATTACCCATCGTAACACTATTCAACGGACCAGGTGGTGGGAATCCCTTTACTGCAGGGAAGTGCAAGTGCATCCATGAGTTGTGGATCATCCCGAAGCCGGACGTTTCTCCAACAGAAGTAACAGCTTCCTTACAGGTCACTTCACACTAAATAGATTTCTATCCACCTATACGAACTGAAAAATCGGGTTGTCCAAACCCTAATGATGAAATCAAACGTGAGTCGCCTCATTTTGTGGCAGCATTTTCTTTGTCATTCTGCTTTATTAACCTCTTCATGTGTTACAAGTTTCCATATAGTGGACAGTAACCTTACACTTATGAAACTGTAAGCATTTTGCAAGACTTGCTGCTCAACTGAATTTAGTCGAAAATGGTTTCATATGCGACTGGCTACGGCCGGTTGTTTATCATTTGGCTGTGTTGTCCGTATACTCTGTTGGTAGCTTTACCGGTACATAGAAATTAGTTTGTGCAAATTTCGGCTTCATTCAGTTTCATTTCTGATTCTGCATTTTCTGGATCATATTTTGTGTGTTATCATTCCACAAAGTTTGGAGTTCCGTCTTGCAGATTCTATCTTATAATGTTCCGTCATTTTTATACCAATTTTCCAAAAAGTACCATGTAATTCTGTTTGAAAATTTTCGGAAACACGGTAAATGCCCTTTTGTTCTTTAATTATGGTGCAAAATTGTATATTTCGTGCGTTGAATTACCTACCGATTCTTAACATCTCTTGCGTTCCATTCAACATGATTTCATCCAAGTTTTGTGCACCGTTTGTCGTTGTCGAACACAGGCGAACGTACAAGGTCTGTCGATGAAGATCGCAGCCAAAATGTTTAGATGTGAGCAGTTCTAGACATATGATCGCGTAAATTGGCCTAGATTCTATCAAAAGTTCAACCCTCTCTATTGTGCTTGAAAGATTGCCACGAGATAGACTTAAATTGCGAACATCTATGTGTGGGTTCTTTTCTTCGTCTGTGTACTCTGTTGTCTATACAGGATATATAGGCTAGAAAACAAGATAAAATCCATTCTAGTGAGCCCTGAACCCAGAAACATTGATTAAATCCGTTCGTTTCTAAGAATACCATCTCATTATCACCGTTTCTTAGCTAATCATCCACTGTTATCTTCTCTGAATGAGTTACGCCATAGAAATGTAAAATGGTGTTGGGGACCTCTGCAAAGCAGTGTTGTAACCAAACCTAGACATGCCCTCGCCTCCTCACTAATGTTAGTTCATTATGGTCGTAGGATGCCACTCCTTCCCCAATGTGACACATCTCCTTCGGGTGTGAGTGCTGTCCCGGGCCACGACATGAATGAACAAACCTTTCGCTCCATAGCGATGGCATCACGTAATCTGTAACCAGCGTGAAGAAACTATTCGCAGTTGGACAAGGTAGCCCTATTCTTAATTTTCCTTGTAGAATGTTTCACCGGTACCTCTGGGGTGTTATTTTGAAATTCACACAGACCACAAGCCATTGATATCATTGCTAGGAGAGACCAATGGTATACAGAAAATGTCTTCCCCAGTAATGCTGTGGTGGGCTCGAACGTTGAGCACATATGGTTGGCGGCATCCGGTTTCGGATTTGCCTGTCACTGTGGCAAGCCACAGGACGCCTGCACCTACAGAGGGACCATGGATGGCTTGCGCTGCACCACTCACAGCTCCAACCACACACCCATATCCAGTGTAAACCCGAAGGAATAAGACCGGGAGGCATGCGGATGGGAACCACGTTTCATCAACGGAGCCGGCCCACACTCCTTCACAGGCAAACACAAGCACGCTGTATCCGGGGGGAATCAAGCGCACACAAGGCGGTGGCTGGACCGTAGTCCGCTCCACACTGAGTGCATGGAACCACTCTTCGAGCCTAGCACGGCCACAAGGACCGTGCACCCTGTCCCCTCCAGCAACGACCAACTGTCTCCTGGAGCCAGTATGGACGAGGTAGTGGGTAATAGACAGGTAGGCACCTTGTCAACATGCACACCAAGCGCATCCACACCGGGGATATCAAACAACAGTCAAACACTTGAGAAAGAGGGAGAGAAAAAGAGAAAAACTCGATTAATGCGTAAGGAAACGGTGATATAGACCTTAATTAAATAGCATATGTAACAAGTTGTTTACAAACAAATCCTAGCTAAGTGCACGAGGTCAGGAAGTATAGTTCACGGAATGCCACGAGCACAAAAATGTTATGGAAACCGAATACAATTGGCTTAGGCGAGGTGTACAAGTTAATGGAATAAAGTACAGGGAGATATTTATATGAGAAAGAAAAGCATTAAGGTAAAAACTGTAAACCCACCACCTGCAATAAAGAGACTTAGCATGCAAGCACGCGGTTAGTAAATCGAATTCAGCGTGCCTACAAACGCTGCGCCGGTGCTGCCTATGTTCACTGCGGGACCCGTCGTCGCTTCGGCGGTGGTCCCGAGTGACTTTTCTCATGGCTCACTAGGCCCGCCTGACTAAGGCACTCGCGACCGCATGTTCTACAGCACCATGTGCTCGATGTCGATGGAGTACAATTCATTGGTGCTTGCCGCCTCCGCACTTGCCGCTTCTTCTCTGCATGCATGAGGGCTTTCTCCCGCACTTAAGCAACTGCCTTCGTGATTAGATCGCGCCATGCACCACGATCAACCGCCTTCGATTCCCATGATCTGCAATCAAGATTAGAACGTGTGAGGCTCACTTTAATCATGTCATGGTGTCGTAGCTTTGGTTTCCCAGCATGCCGCTTCCCAATACTCAGCTGACCGTATAACAGTTGTTTCGGTATCCGCGCCGGATCCATACGGCTCACATGACCGAGCCATCTCAGGTGTCGCAGTAAAAGTATGCCACCACTGCATACATCCCACTTCGGCGCAACATTTCCGTGTCTGCAACTCTGTCGCCCCAACCGATCCGTAAAATTCGTCGCAGGCGCTGCTGATGGAACCGCTCGAGATCTCGCACATCCCGACGGTACATCGTCCACGTTTCACTGCCGTATAGAAGAACGGACAGTACCATGGATTTGTACACCATCAGCTTTGTGCCAATGCTAAGCTGATGGTTGTTCCACACTCGGTACTCAAGCTTCCCGAATGTTGCTGCTGCCTTCGAGACGCGGATACGCAACTCAACGTGTAGCTGCTGATCAGTCGACATCACACTCCCAAGTTTGCTGAAACGGGAGGTGGTTTCCAATACTTCAGCACCAATGCTGATTCGCGGCAATATTGAAGATTGCACCTCCGGTGAAGGCTGAAAGAGACAGACAGTTTTGCTTGTGTTGATGGTGAGCCCGAATTTGGCCGCTGTCGAAGCCAGAGCACTAGTCATGTGCTGCAACTCATCCGCGCTGTGTGAAAACAACGCACAGTCGTCAGCAAACAGCGACATACGGATAGTTGTCTCACAGACTAGAGTTCTCGCACCGAAACGACGGATGTTCAGCAAACCACCATCAATACGGTGCTCCACACGAACACCGTAAGCACAAGCGGCATCAAAAGCACAAGACATCATTGCATAAAGCTAGATACAAAACAGGGCAGGAGCTAAGACACAGCCTTGCTTCACACCAGTGACAACTGCAAAGTCATCCGAGGTCTCTCCACTCAGCTGCACCCTCGCCCGCATACCACTGCGCAGACATTCAATTAAACATACAAACTTAATCGGGCAACCAAACTAACCCAGCACCAGCCACCATGCCTCGCGGTTCACCTTATCAAATGCTTTGGTGAAATCAACAAAAAGCGAGTACAATGGCTGGGGTCGTTCTCTGCACTTCTCTTGCAACTCACGAGCCGCAAACACCATTTCTATAGTGCTGCGACCCGAACGGAATCCGCATTGCTCTTCCGTCACGTTAGGTTCCACAACCTGACTGACGAGGCGATTGAGCAGGATTCGGGCAATCACCTTGCCCACACAACTCAGCAAGTTGATGCCACGATAATTCGTGCAACATCGCTTGTTCCTTTTGCCCTTGTACAGTGGTAGCACAAGGGCATCCTTCAGCTCAGGAGGCACCTCCTCCTCAATCCACACGCGTTGCACCAGGTGGTGCAGCGTAGTCAACAACGCGGGTCCACCGTGTTTCAATACTTCAGGTGGGATCCCGTCACCTCCGGCACATTTGCCGTTTCGCAGCTGAGCAAGTGCTCTCTGCGTCTCATCCAGTGTCGGCGTATCCGCCAGATCCGCCTTCACATCGGGCTGCTTCAGGCCGTTCAAGGTAGGCCAGTCGATCTCTGAACGGTTGTTCAAGAGACAGTCAAAGTGTTTCCGCCAGACCTGCATTATGTCTGCAGTCTGGGTGCAGGTAGCGCCTGAACTACCATCGATCAGTGTCCTCAGCGGCTCCAATCTCGGTCCATACTCCGCCTTCTAGGAGTCAAAGAATTCCTTGTGTTGGCGGCGTTCGGCGTAGCATTTCATCTGCTTCGCCTTCTCCGTCCACCATGCATTTTTAATGCGACGGAGCTCTCGGGTCAGTCGCCGTCGAAGTTTGCGAAACTGATCCTTCTTCCCCAAGTCACTGGGGTCTGCGACATATGCAGCAAATGCTGCATTCTTCTCCGACACCAATGCGCTAATCGACGCATGCTTGTCATCAAACCAATCATGCCGCTTACAGTTTGCGCGCTCGATGGTCTCCTCCGCAGCAGCTGTCACCTGGTCGCGAATGTGGTGCCACAGGTGGCTCACTGTGGCTGTGCAATCCACATCACACAGGTGTGCAGCCATCGCCTTCTCCAGCTCAGTACGTTTCACCACAGTACCGAAGGAAAGAATGTTAAATTTACGCCGATTCACGGCGGGAGTGCAATACATAGATTTACGAAAACATATGTACAGTTTGGTCCGAACCAATTTGTGATCAGTGCCACACTCAGCTCCACGCAGTACACGTGTCATGCGCACTTCACGCATATCACGCTGACGTACGATGACATAGTCGAGCAGGTGAGCGTGACCACTCCGTGGGTGCGTCCAAGTTGCTATATCACTCGCACTCAGTGCAAACCGAGTGTTCGTGATCGTCAGGCCGTGAGTGGCACACAGTGAGAGCAGCCTGTCACCGTTCGCATTCACTGAACCAATGTCATGCGAACCGATAACATCTGTCCACGCTGATGCATCACACCCAACGCGCGCGTTGAAATCACCCAGCAGAAATAGTCGGTC